ACTGAAAAAGAAAGCCACAAGTTGGAAACATGCACGTAGAAAAATATATATTCAGAGGTGGGGAATTGTAGCCTTACCTAAAAGTATCCTGCAGTTCGTATATCTCCTCTTCCAGTTGTCGGATTTCCTTCTTCATGTCTTCGTTCTCGTCCATCAAGTTCTCGCACAAGTTCTCCGCTGCTTTCAATTTCGAGCGTAGCTCGTCCTTTTCTCGATCTCGTTCTCCTCTGAACGTTTTCGAGTTCACTTCTTTCTCCAACTCTCTGATTTTGGTCAATAAACTATTCTTTTCTTGCGCGAGAGCTGAATATAATTGGCAACATTATTTCTCAATTAATTTAATCATCTACCAATTAAGAGAATTCATCAATTAAAGTAGTAATGGGGAAAGAAAAATATAGTTTGTTTGAACATTGTCCCGAAGAACTCTAGTTCTCGATTGACATGAAATTTCGAAACTTTTAGCTCCGAGTATTCTTTTGCATGACTCGATAAAAAAGTAAGAGTTGAGATTGTGTTGTATATTTTTCCACCCCACAATGTTGAGGATAATTGAATTTCTCTGGAACTATATATGCATGCCTATAGATAGTGAGATCGATCGATTATGGTATCGACGATTAGTAATGTGTGAGCAAAGAGACAGTTCAGTACCAAAAATTTTCTATATCTCGAAAATCAATAAATACTCGAAGCGAAAATTTTAGAACTCAGAGTATCTCGTATCTCCCTCTGCTCCCTCAAAATTTCACATCGATCTGATATTTTTCAAAAACTGTTGAAATTTTTTAATATTCTAACAACGTTGTCTTTTTCATTTTCATGTTCGTATTTTTTTTTTTTTTTTTTTTTGGAGCTGATACCTTCATTTTTCTTCTGTAGTTTTTGTATTTCATTCGGCGAAGCCTTGCTCGATATGGTTTCCATGGTTGACAGTCGCCTCATCAAGATCTCGCTCTTCTCCTTTTCCACTCTCTCGCATCGTGCTTGTAATTCTCTTATTTGTGCCCTTAATTGTTCCATCTCGGTCTAACGAGGCAAAAAAGGTTACATCATTATTCGGCGGATTCTATTGATTCTCAATTAACTGTTGTGCGTTGATAATTATGCAATTATCTAAAGCACTAATATTATCATTGCTAAAAGCGTGCTACATTGTACGTTGAAACAATTAATAAGATTCACACGTGGAACGAACGAGGGGAAAAATATTAGAAACAGAATGAAGAATGCTGTAGTGTGGTTACTTTTTCCGTCCATTCCTCGCTTTTCATTCGTCGTTCTCCATTTTGTTCGCTAGTTTTCGAAGAGCCGACCTTTGACTTCTTCACCTGGATAGAAAGAGCAAAGTAGAAACCAGACACAAATACTACGTACTTCTTTTTTATCGTCAGGCAATTAAATATGACATTGAATCTTAATACATGTATGAGATAATGAAATGAAGAAATATAGTTATTTACATATATCAAAGTTCGAATTTGCTGTTAGAAATATTCAATGTGGCGCAAAAAATGATTCGAAACGTCCAAACAATTGGAATACAAGTTGAAAATTGTTCTGTCGAAAGAATCCAGAATTTATTGCTTGTATGTGCACTGTACATTATCAGTTTACTGAAGAATAATTAAGAGCAAGCAAATTTTTTTAAAGGTTTGAAATAGAAAAATATATTATTCCAATGGGGAATCTCTTCTTTTCGTCAATTCTTTCAATCAATCCTCTCTGAGTTTTTAGATTATGTGTATATATATATATATATATATATATAT